TCAACCTCCTAGTTTTGTTGTATACCATTTTAAGCCAAAACAGAGAGTAAAGAAGCACCAATGTTAAATTAAATTACTATTTTATTGATCAGATGAAGAAGACAACAGCTAATTAAATGTACTATATGTAAAAATGAAACAACACACGAAACTATAAATGAAAGAAATGATTTACTAGAGTATATACTTTATCTTGTAGCAGCCTGATGTCCACTTATCTAAGTGAGCATTGATACCTGGGTTAAAATACTTGGAAAAATAGTTAAAATTTTGAATTCACCTGGCAAATAACCAAATAAATATGACTGGAGTTTTGTTTCCATTAAATGTGAGAAATTCCGGTTGAGAAGGAACCAACCAAGAACCCATTGCTTGACAGATATCCCGAAGAAAATAGAAATGGGTTGGACACACGCCGAGAGAACCTTCAAAAGACTTCGTGCTCCAGATCCTCGACTGAAACCCTAATAGGAACCAGCGAATGGGGAGTCCGAGAGTGACATGGATGAGATCAGAGAATATGAACAGTCGTAGGGATTCAGAGTCTCGGTCTATTTGAGGACGTAAGTGCTTCGCTGTCAACAATGTTTATGTCCGTTTAGTCGTAAGCATAAACGTGCGTGAACCAGGGCGTGATCGGAGTCCAAACACGTGTTCCAGAATGATAGGCAGTCTTCTACTGACCCTCGCCAACGATACCCCATCGCTATGTGGTCTTAGCGAGTCCAACGTTGACTTGAGGATGGAGGTCGCCAGGTTACGCAATGTGTCTCTTTGTGCCTGAAGTTAGTGCTGACTAGGAACAGATGATTATCTGAGCAGAACTGTAGAAGACGATCACCGTTGTCGGTCCGTCGACAAGGAACTACACACACACCACCTACATACTTCTCAGTCTGGCACAACTTCCCTACTTGGGTATTGAAGTCGTCTGCTAAAACAACTATATCCGAACGCTTTGCCTTTTGCAGCAAATCAGACAGTTTCTGTTACAAGTCATCCTTTAGTTCATCCGAACTGCAGTCTGTTGGGGCGTAAGCAGAGATTACGAAAAGACAACAACGAGCAACACCATCCTTCCTTCTTCTAATGGACCCGTTCATTTGAACCGCACACATACGACTATCGACTAAAATCCAGTCAATAATTGATTTTTCCGACCTAACACTCAGTGCTATCATTGCATATGAGAGTCCTCACGAACTAGCTGAGAGGTCTCCTGATACCCTTGTTGGTCAGGTGAGGATAAGTGAAGGACTACACTCGCGTCTTGTATGCGTGTCTCCGAAAGACAACATACATCCATGGCTCGAGATGCCAGAGTTCTCGCTAGTGATGCCTGTTGTCCGAAATGTTGAATGCCTATTTTTACAGTTTATCAGTGTTATTAGAATAAAAACTGAATCTATGTAAAAATGCACAAAACAGTAGACAGCTTCACTGTGTAAAAGGTCTCAACTCACCTTTGGAACTCGACTAAGGCAAATCAACTTATTTGAAACACGATCCGATGAAAATGCCATCACAGCTTTATGAGTACATAATTTTTCTATTTCTTTCAAGGCTGAATTCAGAGCTTTTGTGTTCGACTGAGCATCAAATACATGAATAATGAAGTCTTTGGGAGAATTCGCCAGAGTTTCACACAGAGATCGAGCTTCCTCCATAACCTGATAAAATGTAGAAGGCAGATATTTTCTGTGAACAACAGTAAAGTCAAGGTGGACAGGAAAAAATTATCGGCTACTAAGCATCAAAACCACATACATGTGGTTGGACACTCCTCATTTTTAAGCTAGAAAAGTTAATGTCGGACTGCCAAATATAAACATGTTTGAGATATCGTCAATGCAGTTCACATAATCACTGTCTGATGGATCAGATGAGCAAGGCAGTCGCTAATCACATGAACTCTATGAATTGATGAAACAACTCATAAATTTATCAATAAAAGAAATAATTTACTAGAGTACGTACTTTACCTCCAAGCAAACTATTGTCCATTTATCAAAACTAGCAGTGAGGGGTGGCTTAAAACCTCAAGTGACTTACTATTTGCAGAGAAATAGTTAACTTTTGAATGCATCAAGCATATAACTGGAAAAATTTGATAGGACTTTTATTTCCGTCCAGTGTCAGATGATGTTACAGGAGAGGAGTTCATAAAACCTAGTCTCAGGATAGCCAGTCAAGTTAATGTGAACACATTGGTTGCTTCAGACATTCGGGAATGTTCGTTTCATCAGCTTCAGTGGACCGGATGCGGAGGAAACCGATAATGTTAATTCTTCACCTTCTTCACAACTTAAAAACCTGTTAGTCTTCGTCTACATCGTCTATCACTATGATTTACTTTCCCTAAGCTGATATTAAACCGAAAAGCTTCGAAATATCTACCGAGTTATTAACTATACGCCATTTAGGTCGATTGTGTGAAATCATTCTACCAAAGGTGATTCATATCCTGTCTGACTGAGTCCATTTCAATACAGAACTTTGCAGAGAAGTGAAGCAGTTCAAGTAGTCACACACTGCTTGTACCACGCATAGGTGAAGAGTGAAGAAAGATATTCAGCAGAACTATTTTAATCAGAAATGAGAAGCAAGGATTAGTTACACGGGAATATGTGAGGATTTAATAGTACAGGGAGATTATAACGAGTCAGTGCATGTGCACGATTGCGAAGTTTTTTATTTTTATCTCCGGCCATCTTCATTCATCGGTTCTTAGCGTCCTATGTACTTCAAGCAGGTGGTTTGCGTCTCTTTGGGCGGCTCATACCACCAAGGACTGATTCTATACCCAAACTCGATCTTCTTAAACAGTTATGTAACCTCATACTATGTCGGCCAATATATGTTGACGGGGAAGGTGATGGCTTGGTATATGCAACATATATCCTAGCCAGAACAGTCGACCCAGCCTCAACACTTTCGACTACCCTCCTTACTTACCTAACACTTTGCCCTTAACCACAGGATTATTTACCTCACTACGCCACTTAACATTCACGGTGTTATGTTGGGAGTCATTCAGAAACGAGCTCATTTATGGTCTCTTCCAGCAAGATGTAGATGAGTGGTTAAAAGACAGTGCAAGTGAATAATTTGGACGCATTATGCTCTGCGAGCAATTAGTTCACTCTATGGTTCAAGTAGACAGCTAGTCCGCTTGCCTGATTGCTTACATATGAGCTAGAGGTTTTGCCGTTTATATCTCGACTTATATACAAAGATCTCTAAAATTGTAACTTAATAATGAACAGTAGTTTCGGTATGTTCAGCGTCCTAAATTACCTGATCAAAGTGGTGCTTTGTAAATCAGTTAAATGAGTAATAATAAGGGAGTTTTTTTCTTTAGTTGACAACCTCACAAATTTTTAGATGTCATGGGTACATTTTAACAATGAACTCCTTTAAAGTTATTTGCATCTCCTAGCAAAATCCGATGACTGAAATTGGACTCATTGAAAGTAAAACTACTTTGAGAATATTTTCCTCCCTAGAGATTAAAACAGCTCTTTAATAGTTGTTCACAAATATTTATATCAGGCTACTGAACTCAGGTTGGTATGACGACTTTCACGTTTGTCGTATGCATTTACTTCTAGTAGTTCCTAAAATCAAGTTGACTTTCGATGCTAGAAAGAATACTAATTGTTATTACCCGTCCTCGAGTTACAGATTTCCTTCGGTGACCTGTGGCTAGTTGGCGATTATGATAGGGAGGCCAAGAAGTAACAAAGTATTCCTACGAGGAAACTGAGTGTCAGTGTATTTTTCACAATTGCATTTTCGTGATATGGTCAAATCAAAGTAAGAAGCTAAGTACATCAAGGAGCGTAAAAGGAATTAACATTTCCAGGACCTTAGTTCTAGTTCACCGTCGGCCACTTTTTGAAGTATAGTAAGTGCTTGCATTCATTTATATATAGAAACTCCGAATGAACCAGTACATGAATACCCTTACTTCCGTAACCTCTTTATGCAGTTTTGAATACGTGTCCACAATGTTTTTACACCTTTATGCAAAGATCATCATACTCGATGGTCATGTATGCAATTTTGTTGTCCTTTTATTTTCCGGAGATCTCACGTGTAATTTTTAGCCAGCATCATAACATCTGGAGGACTGATTTTATCAGATTGTGCTTCAGGATAGCGTACAACAGTTTCATGAAATAACTCAAGTGTGCAGCACCTGATTATTTGCTAGTACCTAGCAGGACAAATCTCAGTCTTTCACTTGATTTCGGATAATTATTTGTAGACAGAGGGAGAGTATTTAACTAATTGTGAAAAATTCCACTCTTCTGTGAGGTGCTTGATTCGCCTTGCATCTAAAGCTTCCATCGTTCATAGTAATCCCCGAAAATGGGAGACAGGCTTTTTGCAACATTGGAAGGCACACAGTTATCTGAAACCCAATGATTTTTGAATAGGCGGTAATAGAAAAATTTATGGTCTGTAATTTTTTCAGTAGAAGGCGTTCAGGGAGAGTTGATTCGTGGGGTGTCTAATCTATCACGAGAGGAAAGACCTAGTAGTTTGAATCTCTCCTCTTCATCCCACTGTAGGCATTGAAAATATCATTTGCAGAACTTTAAGAACTGACATTGGACCTGATATACCCTTTGTTTTCATCCCAAACAGGTTAATATGTCTCATAAGACAAGGCAAGAGAGTTAGAAGGCCAAGAATTACCCATATTACCATGGAATACTGGTTCCCTTAGCGAATCATACAATGTCAGAACTGACTTCCGGAAGATGTTTGTATGCTCAATTGTCTAGTTCAAGAAGAGATCAGATAAGGACAGAAACTCATTAGAAAAAATTACAATGAGCTACAAGCCTTCTATCCCAAATCAATATATGGAATCTTGTTTCATTGCTTTTAAAATAATTGAGGCAAGTGTGATTGTTGAAGGTCGTGCCAGTTGACCTTCAGGTGTCACGTTTGTATCCTGTTGCCTGCACATTGCCATTATAGACCTTGAGATGAATCCTAAAACTACTGCAAGGGATTTAAGACAACAATTCTTCGACTTCTTTAAATCAAAGGGTCATGTTTACGTTCACTCTTCTTCCACCATTCCACATAATGATCCCACACTTTTGTTCGCAAATGCTGGCATGAATCAGGTAATTAAATGCTTAAAATATTATATGGCAGTATAAATCTATATTCCAAGGTACTGTAGATCCCAATAGTGAGCTTGGTCGTCTCAAAAGAGCTTACAACTCCCAGAAGTGCATACGAGCAGGAGGTAAACATAATGACTTGGATGATGTCGGTCGGGACGTTTACCATCATACATTTTTTGAAATGCTTGGAAATTGGTCCTTTGGAGATTACTTCAAGAAAGAAGCTTGCGAATGGGCTTGGGAGTTATTAACAAAAGTTTGGAAAATACCTGGTGATCGTTTGTATGTCACCTATTTCGGTGGCAATAATACACTTAACCTGCCTCCGGATGAAGAGGCACGTGAAATATGGATCTCACTTGGGTAGGCTAACAAAATTTAAGTTATTTTGTGGCTTTAAAGTTACTGTTTCTGAGATGCCAGTATCAATTCAGCCTGTTTTTCTTATCTAGAAATGGATATACACTGAAAAGCGAGTTAAGACTGGAAATTTGGAAGTTTGTAGTAAGTAGCACCTCAGTAGTTGGGAGATTGATTAATACTTTATGCTTAATCTCAGTCGCCAAGTGAACAATTGCTTTGTCTACTAGTGTGATTAGTAAATTTTTCAGATGTTAATTATGAAGATTGCCTGTCAGATATATAAATTATACGCTCATGCTACAACCATTGGTTGCTGATTGTGGGTGTTAGGTACTAATTTTTTAACTTTAAGATATGGATGAGACAGCGTGGCAACTAATAATTATTTAGGTGCAGGGTCGATCGGTGTTATTGTGAACTTTCATTAGCACAGGTGTTGAGACATAGGTTGCACATGTTAAACTACCTTCCTCGATATGTTACTTCAAGTGAATTAAATTTAAGTTCAAAGAGTTGGGTGTCACCGAAACAATACATAGCTTCAATGTGTATGGTCATTGCTTTTGCTCTTAGCTATGTAGGGGATATGGGTTGCGTGCCAATGGTTCGAAACTGCGTACCACTCCTTGAAATCGTTTTTTATTTATTTAGAACACTAGTTTGGCACATTATGTGCACTACGAGATGTGTCACAAGAAGTAGCATTAAATACAAGGAAATGAGAGTTAAGATAGCTGGGAAGCAAGAGTATAAAAACAGATGGACATATACGGTCAAGACGGGGCTCATTGACTTTAGCATATGATTTCCGTCCAAGGGATCATGAGTTTAAATCCCGCTTCACCTACCACAACCTGACTATTTGGGTAATATTATCAAAGGGTGGCTCGTAACCCGTTAAATTAAGTCATGTTCCGGGGAACCGAATTCTAATTAACAAGATAAGATTTTTTAAGGATTCATTCAGTACTGCTACCGGAAGCAAGCAACATTACAGGACGGTGATATTTTGACTCGGAAAGTTACCGCATATTGTCAGCACAGAAGAGCTAGACGTAGAGGAAGACTACCCATCTCAGTATTCCCAGCCGTATCATTGACGGCCAGTTGTTGTCGAGACAACAGCATAGGTGAAAAAAGTTGACACTGTCTTTCATTATATGATTAGAGATTTCATGCATCTCATATTTAGCACTCACAACCTCATAGACAAGGGAGCTTTTTAGTTACTTCTGAGGATTTGTTCGTGAGAACAGGTGCTAGAAAAGACAGTCTCGCAATAGTAATTAACACGCACTCTGTCTACAGGCATTATGTATTGAAATTGACGAAGGCTTTCATTAAGTGGCAGATCGACACCACCACGAACATCCTTCAAAGGTGTCTTAGGAATGAAATCGGTGGCAAAGTTGTTTGGAGCGGATGCTTTATGGAGCTTCGGTGGCTTGTATTCTCTCTCCAACCTGTGCTTCGCTAAGTGTTTATTGACGAATTCATCGAACTGTTTTGTATTGATAGTCAATGCAGTTAATTGTTGCTTCTGGAATACCGGTTTGGAATCCGACCATGCGTTAGTTATGCGTCGGAAAATTTTTTAAGCTTCATTCCCGAAACCAGATAATTAGTTGAGAAAACGTTCTGGTGTTAGTAAAAGTGTATTTAGATAAATAATTGGAAGTGTAATTTAAAAGCTGCAAATATAGAAGTATTATTGTTTTGCACTCCTAGTGGAACAGAAGGCTTCAAATCCGAGCTTTGAATTTTCACTAGCGGTAGTGTTCTTTACGGGGTTGGCGTCGCTAGCCTTACGCCCAAACTTTCTTCTTCACCGAATTTACTACCAATTCCTGCCTCTTTTGTTATATCCCATTTTTTGTGCAAATGAGGCATGCAACTTGCATCACGACACTGTAGTGTTATATCCTGCGTTGATACCGTTTACCTAACTCACTGCTTTTTTGTCCCCTTGTATATTGCATCTGCATAAATCCCGCAGAGTTTGGTAAGATGAGTTTTCATAAGCCCGAAGGTACTCACTTATCATCATTTTTCACATATTCTAAATCTTAGTTCAAGAATCAGATATTTAAGATGCCTCATATAAGCAACGCATAAGAGAGATTATGGGCCTCCCTCCTAGCATCTAAGGTACCCCTTCATTATCTGAGGATAATCGTAAAATAGTCGGGGTCAAAAAATGAAATGGTTTCAAAAAGTGAGGGACCTGCTCATAATCGTCGAATTCCGAAATATTTTTACCATACGATTTTTAGTCAGACTGAAACATGACACCAGTCCATTTAATCGTTCAGTGTTGAGTAGTCAGTGGTAAAGATGTATTGCCTATTGTATACGATATGGCTGAGTCCATTCCATCAATCCGTACATGGTTTCTGAGTAACAGTAAATAGTGCAAGCCCAAAGCACATGTTTCTAAAAGTTACATTCCTCAACATTAACATCAGTTCACATGGTGAATACTTAAGGGTTCTTTGAAATAATGTACACGAATTTTTTGACCTAATAGTCTACATATTTAAACTCTGAAATGTCTCATTCGTAATACGTGCTTTATAACCTGTTTATTTTGCTAATTTAGTTTACCAAAGAGTCGCGTGCTTCCATTTGGTATGAAAGAAAATTTTTGGGAAATGGGCGAAACCGGTCCCTGTGGTCCTTGTTCCGAAATACACTATGATCGTATTGGTAATCGTGATGCTGCTCATTTGGTAAATCAAGATGATCCGGATGTTTTGGAGATATGGAACTTGGTGTTCATACAGTTTAATCGGTACTCACACCTTTCTTTAATTGCATTAATTCTGAAATTGCTTCATAGCAATGAACCTTTGATACTTAGTGTTCTGCATTGTATTTTAATGGAATGAGTTTAACCATTTATGTTTATACAATCTAACTTCAATGTACTGTTTTCACTACATTTCAGTCTAGTGTTGTGCTGTTGCTGTTTTAAGCACATTAAACATCTTAGCAATTTATCATGCTTTTAAACCTTAATTGATATTTCAGTGCCAGCAACCACAATGTTTGTGGTTCGTAATCAAGAGTATCAAATCGCACTTGTTGGTTGGTATATATTACTAAGGCATAGACTTGGTACATCAGGAATGCCAAAATAATCCTACTGTTTTAGAGGTTCATGTTTTAGATAATAAGGATTTTTAGTAAAATTCAATGTTAAAGTTAGTGAAACTTATCCTTAAGGTTGCTGTCCACTACTAGAAAGTTGGATGACTAGGTCAACAGTAAGGCGAGGGTGTCAAGTGTAAATAGGAATTATTTAGTGATCAATTTATCTACTTTCAAAGCTTGCTGGAATGATTTTATTTCATAGATCAGTGTAGATTCAAGGGGTATTTTTATGTTTGCAGGTAGAGTGTGCTTTTTACGTTTAAAATCTCACAGTCACTTTATAGAACTTACGTACAGGATTTATTACTATTCTGATCTAATTTTGACTTCCCATGAATTTGACTCTTCTTGTAGAGAAGATGGTGGGTCTTTAAGACCACTCCCATCGAAACACGTTGATACAGGAATGGGATTTGAACGAACACTATCGGTCATTCAAGGAAAAAGATCAAATTACGACACAGATCTATTTACGCCTTTGTTCAAAGCAATTGAGGAGGTTAGTTTCTATGTGGTATATTTTGTGCGCTTTTGCATTTTAGAAACTTGTCAGAGGCAAGAATTAAAGTCCTTTGAATGAACTATACAACAGAAAGGGAGAAATTATCATATAGTTAAACGAAGTTTTGCTGGAAGTCTACTTATAGTCTTTGATAAGTCAGGAAGTATTTCACTTATTGCATCGTATATCCATCCGTCAATCATACTGTCTTCCTGCAGCTAGTCGGATGGGGTTGTTGGTATAGGATGTGTTTCTAAGTCATTCAGAAACATCGTGTTATATATGAACCGGGATTTAGACACATTCTAATGCACTTGAATAGTATTTTAACATGTCAAACCGTCAGTCGTTAGGTCCCTGTCACTTCAAAGTTGACAGAAGTGCTTCATTTATTCATTTGAATACCAATCAGATTTTTTTCTATCAGTTGTGTTTCATTGATGAAGTCTAGTGTTACAGAATTCTTTGTCGAATCGTGGGCACTTATTGTTCATTCTTAAAGGTGGTGATATGATGTTATGTGTCAAACTTTCAAGTCTCAATGGTTTGCCCGGCTTTCATACACAGTTTAATGCTTGAAAGGACGATGCTTACTTTAGTCAGCTTCTGCCTGCATAGAACTTCTGGTTTCCACAACAATCTTTCTTTTTATTTGTCTGTGTAGCAGTATGTAGCCCAGTCATCACACAAATGTCACTGCATTTAGTAATACTCCATACCCGCGGTGTGAGAGTTAGTGATGCAATCTAGTTACCCAAATGTTCACGAGTGGAGTGAGGTCCTAACCCTTGGCTCATTGATTGAGAATCAAATGCTTACCTAAATAGTCACATATTTTGCTTTTACATACATGCTTTTAGATAATTCGACATTCAACAAAATGTTGATAGGTTTTTTATGTATATATTTCTCTAGGGTACTGGAGTTAGGCCATATACTGGGAAAGTTGGTGCTGACGATACTGATGGAATTGACATGGCTTATCGTGTTTTAGCTGATCATGCAAGAGTGTTAACTGTAGCTCTTAGTGATGGTGGTCGTGCTCAGAATACTGGTCGAGGATATGTACTTCGCCGTATTTTAAGGCGTGCTGTCCGGTTTGCCGTGGAAGTTTTAAATGCCAAACCTGGATTTTTGTCTTCTTTAGTAGATATTGTCATTCAGACACTAGGAGACGCATTTCCAGAAGTAACTCGAGATCCAGATACTGTAAGTTCCCTTTTTAGTCTGTAAACACCTAAACTGTTGTAATTTACCTAATAGTTTAGTATGTTCACTGTTTGTATTTTATAAATGCTAACATTTTCTTATTTTCACTTGCACCAAAGAACTTTTTTTTTGCATAATGACATTTGATAATCTGAAGGAAACTCTCATTACATAAATCAAAGCATCTAACATTCCAGATAAAATGCAGTTAGGACGATTTGCTTTGTGACTTAAGTATTTAAGATTTTCACCCAGTATACTTACAGTCTGTTCGTATTGCTCATAATTTGAGTTTTGTATATAATCAGTGTTTTACTAATTTAAATATGTTGTAATGTAATGCAATTTTCCGCTAGTAATTACATTTAGGCAATAAAATCTTCGTGAACATGTGCGAATGTTCCATACAAAGTATTCTGTCACGCTCATAGCACATAGTGTATTGCTCACTGCTGTTTGCTGTCTCTATTTGGTTGCAAAACAGTCATGAAAGTAAAACTGCAAAAGAGCTTCTAGTATACAAACATTAAAAATTCCTGATGACTTCACCATACAATTAGGAGATTTAACTCAGGGTAGTTCCAAATCTCATTCAATCGGGTAACATATACAGACCTCTCGATATGTGAAGCTCTTAGCCTGGTACACGAAAGATCTGTCTAGGGTAACTGAATTTAAACAAAGTAACTAATGAAGTTATTTTAAGGTTAAGCTAAGAGTTTGCATCACATCAACTGCACCTTAATAGACTAGTGTAAAATGGTGGAGAATTCTATGTTGGTTACATTAGGGGTAGAGGCGAAAGATTAGGGTGATTCCATTAGGATATGACATCAATTTCTGAATGTTGTGGGATTTGTGGGGAAATGTAAGTTTTCGAAAAAAAACACGAAATAAAGTAAAGGATCACATATGTTTGTTTGTGGTTTATTGAACGTTCTCTTACATCATAGCTTTGGAATTTTTTAAAATTTTATTTAAACAAAAAAACTTGATACAATATGGCACCAAGAAGATGCACCACACAGTAATAATAATAATAATAACAAAACATAGATTGAAAGTAGGTGGGGAACGGATAAAGAACTTCATCTGGAAGGAAAACAGTCATACTTAATAAGTTCAAACAGCTTTCGTTAACTATCAACGGGAAGGGAAGAAAGAAGGAGATTGCAGCACCTTCGCCATTGATTATGATTATTGGCCATATCCGAGAAAGTTTCCAGCCACCAATTCGAGCTATCTCTCGAACTTCAACCAGGAAGTCATGATGCGCCAACCGATGCTAGCCTAACACATATATCCTTCATCCCACGACACCACGTCATCGGCTGACCACCTCTCCGCCTTTTCCATCCCGTCCCAGGGCTAGCGAACAGAGACCTGTACGGAAGCCTCTGGAATGACATTTGAAGCCCATGTCCAAGCCACCGAAGCCGGTGTTTCCAGATGATGAAACTCAACGAATGGTGATCTCCACTGTGTTCAAACAGACCGCCGAATCTCAGAATTACTCACGCGATGATGCCATCGAACGAAAGCAATCCTGCGAAGACAGCGATGATGGAATACGTATGGCTGCCGCACATCCTCAACCCGGAGAGGCCAGATTTCACAGGCGTAGAGCAAGACATTCCGCACCGAAGAATTGTATACCCGACCTTTGACAGCCAGGTTAACGTCGCGACGGCGCCAGAGGTGGCTCAAGTTGATGTATGCCACCCTAGCCTACACGATACGGTTGGAAATCTCATCCGCTACCCCTCCGCCAGCACTCACAAAACTACCCAGATACACAAACTTATCAACAACTTCAAGCGGTTCACCTGCGAGAGTGAGTGCAGGTACAAGCTCCTGCCAATCTTGTAACACTACTTTTCACTTAGACGGCGCAAAGCAGATACCATACTTACGGACATTGATCGCTAACTGATTAAGTGCGATTTGGGCAGCCTGCTTGCTATCGCACAGTAAGACAATATCGTCTTGAAACTTGAGGTAGAAAAGTCTATCTCCAGGTAGCAGATCTACACCACCTTCACGCACATCCTTCAGAGCTGACTCCAGAATGTCATCGATAGCAAAGTTAAAGACTAATAGAGAGATTGGGCAACCCTGTCTAACCCCACTGTTGGTTAGGAACAGTGATGATAGTTGGTTGTATGCCCTCACTGTAACTGCAGTGTTTGTGTATAGGGCTTTCAGGGTGTTCACAAGCTTCTCTCTAAGAGACAGTTCTGGAGCAAAGTTCTGTCCAACGAATCAAAGGCAGCACTAATATCAAGAAACACAACGATTGCTGGCCTGCGATACGTGTGGCGGTGTTCCACCAACTGACGAAGGGTGAACACATGATCAATGCATCCACGACCTGAACGAAACCCAGCCTGTTCTTCGCGAATTAATCCCTCACGCGTTTTGCGCAGCCTGCGAAGCAAGACAGCAACCAGTATTTTAGACGCAACTGCTAGCAGACTGATACCTCTATGATTGTCACATGAGTTACGTCGACACTTTTTAAATATATGGACGATAATGGCTTCGTTGCACATTGATGGTACGTTCTCAATCTCCCATACTTTTCTGAATAATCCAGTTAAAGTCACTACAATAGTCTGGGGGTAGATTGTCTGGGCCGCTTGCCTTATGGCGTCTTAGTACTTGGAGTTCCTTATGGACCTCCACTTTGGTTGTTGGGTCAGTACTAACCGACCAAGGAGCACTGAAGATAGTGACAGTGGGTACTAAAGCTGGTGGCTAGCTAAACTTTCTTGAATTGCTCTGCCCAGCCTTCCAGGCGTCTTTTCAGGCTGTTAATTGGCGTGCCATCTGCCTCGCTGACACCTTTTTTCTTGCTGCCGATGGCTCGGAGGAGCTGGAACAGCTTCCGACTGTTGCCAGATGCAGTAGCTGACTCCATCTCACACGCACATTCCGATCACCAGGTTTCGCGGACCTTACGTAAACACTGTCTAATCTTGCGCCTAAGCGCCTTTCGCTTATTGTTATATTCGCTGCCAGCCGGAATAAACCGGTACTTATCCAGGAGTTACAAGGAACTCGCAGAAACCCAGTGGTTTTTAGTGGAGCATGCTTTTAAACCGCAAGCGACTACACTCGCCATTTGCATGGCGTCTTGCAGATGAAGCCATTTGGGGTTGCTAGCAAGCATCGACTGTAACTCATTCTCGTATTTCAAAGCGGTAGCAGATGCTACCAGTTTGCTCAAATCAACATTCAGATGGCGCCGTTTATAAACCGCACCAAATCGCAAGACGAACCTGGCACACACTAACGCATGATGGGAATCCAGACATGTGCTACAGAAGGAGCATCAGTCTTGTATACATCCTCGCCACCGGAAACTAACAGCGATATGTTCAATCTGAGATCAAGCTTGAGGGAGGGCACCAGATAGCGCTACGGAGATGGCTGTGCCGGAAGTTAGTGCTGGCTAGAAATAGGTTGTGGTCTGCGGTAGGATTCAGAAGACAGTCCCCATTATCTGACCTGCGACTATGTAAACCCCACTGACCACCTAGGCGATTCTCCTCTGAGCTTGGACGCCCGATCCGTGCATTCAAGTCCCCAGCCAGTAATACGATATCCTTCCGACGCTCTTGTTTCAAGAGATCGCTCAATTGGTAGTAGAACTCATCCTTAATTGCATCCGGGCTGCAACACGTCGGTGCATAGGCAAGGACAACAAATAGGCACCGCCTATATGGCCTACCACTCCTTACTTTCGTATAACCTTCCAACCTTACATCACATAAAAAACTGTTAATGCCGGTCCAGTTAATTAATGCAGCTCTATATCTAGCACTTGGTGCGACACCGACACCAGCTTCGCCGGATGCCGACACCACAGGGACTCCTGATAAGCGCAGGTGATAAACACTATTTGAACTTTCAGAGTGAGAAGGTAGTCGAAGCACTTCACTGGAATCTGCAGTTCGGCTCTCTGAAATGCAGCAGACATCGACAGCGAGACTTTTCAATGTTCTTACCAAACCTGTCTGTTGTCCGGTTGGCATCAGTGTCCGAACATTGTAGGTGGCTAGACTGAACGCGACACGCGGTTTCAGGATACCTGTATTAGATGTTTCACTAGGAATCAACATTTCGAAGGCTGTTCACTGATATCTCGAAACGACACAGATAGGCTGAGAATTCGGACAAAGGAGAACGATTGATGAAAGTGAAGAAACCAAGGTTAACAAAAGTAAAGTACAGAAGTCTATGTATAAAAATAAAATTAAGATTAGAAAGAGATTTATCACTTAAAACATCATTATTGCTTGAGAGCATTGTTAGGAGCGCGCAATAAGTTTAGCTGACAGTTTGTTGCTTCATTTCATTGATTGAAATTGGGATTTCCCTTTTAAGGAAACATTTAACGTGAACTTTTGTGCTTCTTCAATGTATACTCTTGTGATCAGTATGTGTTATATATAACCTCTAGTGTTCCTTCAACAATAATAAGTTGCAAAATACAGAGGAAATAAGTCTGATTCATATGCGATCCATCCTTCTTAAGAAAGTTTGAAAGTCAGACTAATATTCTATAAATAAATTCAGTTATTAGGGGTTCTGGATTATTCACCACACAAGATATAATTATAGTGTGAAAACACAGGAATGAGCTAAAAACTGTTCGTTAACTCTACTGTGCTTTCTGATACAAAGAAAACATCATGTCTCGATTTCGAAACAAAACGTGTTTTGTGATATCTCAAGTCACTGAGTCTCACGATCCTTAGGATTCTTTGAAGGAAATTGTGATGGTCCACATAAACTTAATCTCTTGACAGCAATTCATTCCTCTAACCATTCCTACAGCCATTGAAGAGTAAATGGTGTGAAAGGTTTTTCGATTACCACATTATATTTTTTATAGGGCACTCTTTATTAAATTGTAATTATTTTCAAATGCGCCACATAATACCACAGTTATTTAAACAGTGTTATTACTAGTTACATGCGACCCAATAAAAGTAAAACATTTCAGTACGTAGAGTTGCAGAAAAAGAACTGAGTCTCAGCACTTTAGAAAAGAACTGCTATCGAAGCTTTGTGATCTTTTATGGTTAGACAAACATTACTTAGCTTGCACACACGGATATTGTGATTTTGAATTACGTTACGTTGAGAATTTTTGAAAATAAGTACAACTGTGACTTAAATGATGAGACAGACTTGGAAGTGTGAATCAATGTATTCAGTTACTTTGACAGTCCTATGCCTTATTTCTCATAATATTTTCTGTCGACCATCCAGATACTTGATCTAATCATTCAAGTCCTGACTTGCTGCTATGATGTCTTTTGAGCACAGTTGGCCAAGAAATGCTTTCAGTTAATTGTTAAACTTATCTTTATTTGCGTTCGGTTTATGACTCATAAGATTGTTGGTACATGTAAAGAGAAGATCCTGTTCCAAGCAATATTTATTTCTGATGTAACTGTAACTTTTATTTTATTCAAACAAACGCGACTGTCGGTAGGTAACCGATAAAGTAACACAAAGCGCCTTAAAATAAGCGTGCATGGAACTTTTTGTCAGTTTAACTGTACTGGCACTTTCGGTAATTAAAGGTATTTTCCATTGTTTTCGTATGATGTTACGCAGGTAAAGGAGCTTATTAACGAAGAGGAACAACAATTTTTAGTTACTTTAAAGCGTGGTCAACGTCTTCTTAATCGTGTGATCGGAGATTTGAAGGTATCCACAAATAACAGTGCTACTTTATCTGGTGAAGTTGCCTGGCGTCTGTATGATACCTATGGATTCCCTCTGGATCTGACACAATTGATCGCTGAAGAACATCACTTAAAAGTAAGTTGTACAATGACCTTAATTTTTTCACTTGGAGTTCACTTTTAATACAGAAGGGGAGAGTTATGAAATGTCTTTAATACGATATAGGGAATCCATTCTAGATAACCTAAAACCTTTTTCAGAACATAATTACTGATATTTGATTGCTTTCATGAGTTTTTTGTTGGATATGAGTACGATTGTATGGTTTTTGGAAATGATTCGTCAGAAAGACGATTTACTTCACTGTTTCGTCACTTTTATCACACACTCTCTCTCTCTATTCAAAGCCCCATAATACTGTTATGAATATCTACTGAATGATGTGGGATGACTTTGACCAATATCTGTTTCTTACAATAATCGTGTTAAAAGATTCTAGCATTGCCTGTCATTTATATTGTGACAAGTTGTATTATCATTTAACACTTTAATTAGTTTTCCACATCTCTTTTCAATCTAACAGAGTTGATGGTTCGTTTATTTCTACACTGTTCCTTCAGGTTGATCTAGAAGGTTATGAGAAGGCTAAAGAAGAAGCTCAGGCTCGTAGTCAAACGGGAACGTGTGCAGGTGGATTGGTTGTTGATCTGGATGTACATGCACTGGCTGAATTAAAAAACAAAGGCGTACCACTTACAGATGACTCTGAAAAGTTTAACTATACATCTGATTCTGAAGGAAACTACGGTAATTTTATTGTAGAATACCCTTTCCCAATCAATTTATGTTTTTATTTAGTGGTTAATATTACCTTAATATTCTCTATAAATCTTTACTTTTGGAGGGAGTTATTCCTATATGACCTGGAAGTTGGTTAGTTTTGAAATAGACAATAATTACATCGAATTTCGAGAAGTGAAATAAGCAGGCTTGTGAATCACAGTGAAAATGTTCCAATTAGTGGTAATATTCCTCAAGTTGCCCTTAGTGAACTCCTGCTTCATGCTTTTCAAGTTGACGATACTTAACGGCTAAACCATATATTCTCATCAACTAACAGTGAAGACAGGAAGCCACTCAACTATTAGAGAGTAATAATTTGCTATGACATATTGATAAAAGCTGAACAAGTATGTATCTCGCCAGATTTTATGTTTTTTTTGGTTTTAAAACACAAACCCGCTGTATCTTACATATCAAAACTATACCAAATGAGTGAATAAACGAAACAAGCATAAATCCTACAAGTCAGGAATACATTTAAAATAGAACAGTGACTGGAATAACGCAATCAACAGAAATTGTATCATTAAATATGTGTAAAACAGTTCATTTCTTCTAGCCAGTTTTTACGTTAACAAATAATGTCCATCAAATCAATGAAGTTATTCAGTTATCTCTGATTATGCCATTATAAGTATTCTAATTACTGCATTTATAAGGACAGTGTTGTAACTTGGCAGTGTGGTTTTCCTTCCTACTGACGTTTTAGTCAAAGCAGTTGGAAAATAGGTGTAGGTTAGGGTTAGGCCTAAGACATTTATCTTATGAAGACTAGACATGCATACTCTTCACAGCGTTTTTCTGAATACTGTTATTTATGTTTAACTAGTGAACCTCATTCATAAACAGTAGGCATATTCCTTACGAAAAACTAGTAGTGATTTTCTGTGTGCTTATTACTGAAGTGATTCAGCTTCATATGTCATTAATTTGTGTTGTTTTAGATAACTTATTCACTTAGTTATCAGTATTGCTTTTACTTCATAACATGTCATTAATTCAAATTGCACTGCGATGATGAGTCTACTAGCTTGTTGACTACAAACAGAATTCAGTCAATGCTACACTATGACTTAGACGTATATTCAAGGTATGAGTCAGTTAAAATTAAAGGGAACACGCATTCTTTCGAATAATTTGTGTCTGAAACATTTTTTGATGTTCACTTTTTTATCGCTTTTCTATAATAATTAGTGTTCCCGGATGCTGAAGCAACTGTGTTGGCTATTCGTAATGAAAATGACTTCGTTGAAAGTGCTACTTTGAATGGACAAATGTGTGGCATAGTCTTGGACAGGACTTTGTTTTATGCGGAATCTGGAGGACAGCTGTATGATCATGGCTTTATAACCAGTTGTACGGATGAAGTAAGTTGTCCGTCAAATATATATGCGCTCAGTATAATCTTTGAACTAGTTTCATTAGACTTTTTAAGTTTCCACGTTGTTGCAATTATTGAAATGTAAGTATATGAAGGCTTTAACCTGCACTTCATAGTTATCAAGGCATGAACATCACCGTTCTCCAAATGCTGTCACATCAAGGTATGTAGTGTAACAAGTGACCACAGCATTTCTACTGTTACATTTCGATATGGCATTCTAATTCCTAATTGTAATTTTTATTAATTTAACCCCTAACCAGAAATTGTTCTGGAACTTTCCCATCCATTTGATATAAATACACGAATGTACAGCCTAGATGATGACTTCGTCGAAAAGAAAATTTTCTTCGCTGCAACTGACATTTCGATATCATAATTCACAGGAGACTTTATTTAACCTCAGCACGTCTGTTTCATTTGTTCCGATTAACACGAGAAACACCTGGAGTGCTCTTTGTAATGTTATCAAATAAGTCATCTTACATATCCTGAAAAAAATGTATGCAGTAGTTAGCTAACTTTCTTAAGTTCTAAATTAATGTCAAATGAGAAATATTCTGAAACAGTAATAACAATTAACAAGGAATATCACAGAACAAGGAAATACTCTTCATCATTATGAGCAATTAATAAAGGCTACGTCAAGATGAATGATTGAGTTTTAGGAGATTTGCTTCATTAGCCTAAACATTCCATTTTCAGACAGTAGGTTATGGGTTCGAGTCAGCCTGGACAGCTGGCTAGTGTAATCAACCTTTACTTGATAAGTGTGGTTCGTAGCCTAGTATGTGAAAGATCTGTTCCGGTCAGTCAAGTTCGAGGTTGCTTTGATCTACATTCTATGGATCGACATAGTGATATAGCTTTTGCTTCTGTGGAAATTTGCTTTAAATTGGTATATTACGTGCTCTTTGATCTCAATAATCTTTTAGTTGATGTTAATGAAGAAAACTATACGTTTTGTTCAAAATTCGTGAACTTATTAAACAGTATTAGTACATTTTTATTCATATTCACTTATACAAAACGGTTTTTATTTTTTTAGACAACGGAACTAAGCATTGTAGATGTTCGTTGTCGTGGTGGTTATATTTTGCACATAGGAACACTGCAGGGTGAGTTGAAGGTTGGAAGCAAGGTTCGTCTTTCGCTTGACGCTGTCCGACGTACAGGATTAATGCGAAATCACACAGGAACGCACGTCTTAAATTTCGCCCTTCGTGAATTAGTGGAGGAATCTGACCAGAAGGGTAGCTTGGTTGCCCCAGATCGTCTGCGTTTCGACTTCACTTCTAAGGTAACTAATAACACTTTTTCTATTAACACCTTTAAAACCGTATAAAACTGTTTTCTGGCTCTTATTATGAGCCTTCTAGTAGTTTGATATAATTTTTATTTCACTTCAAAATGGTGTGTGTACGTATTTGTGTTTGAAAAAGATGGGGTGATATGGTTAATGTGCGGAATACAGCTTAGTGAGATTGATAACTACAAATATGATGAGCAGATCAGCGATTCTGTTTATCTGATCGAACTTCTACTGGTAAAACAGTGTGCAAATTCATGACGCTTTAGTTTACGGTAGACCAGTGCCTCATTCGGTAACATTAAATTGGTGATAAGTTTTCGGGCTGGAACATGGTTACAAGATTGCTTGTTCTCTCCGAGGAATGTTCATACGTTTCCGGGATTTACATTTTCATGTGAATCACAATATAACACACAAGCAATTTGAGTCTTTTTTCAGTGTCTGATACTTCATGCAGACCGAATTCATCCATGCTTTTAAAATTTCAATCGCGCATGAAACGGTCTTCATAGTGATTACTAAGAGAGTTGGTAGTAAGTCATTAAGATTTGTGAAATCTTTTATAATTCACAGCATTTATTTGTAATTATGTACCTCAGGGTATTGTGTGGTTTAGTGAGTACTCTGGGTGTTTGTTTGGTTGTCAGCTAAATGACTTATCTGTTTATACATACATTGAAACTGAGGAGAGTAACCACACGTTTCGTCGTTATAAATCTGAACAAAACAGGATTCTTAGGATCCATTACGTTTCGTTGTATTCTGGAAGCTGCAAGGGTTGACAATTTAAATTACAGTATAAATGAACATATTTGGAGATTGGAAAATTGGTTATTAATGAAGGGAAAAATTTCATCAATAAGCCACTATGAATTATAGAGTAATTCCACTTTGAATAGTTATATTATGATGGGCACCACGAGGTGCGCTAGACTAAATCTCATAGTCTGTGCGAGGATTGGGTTACTGCCCGGAATCCTAATCCGAAGCAGGTGGTTGTCTTGACCGGCTACCTCCGGTTTGCGTTCCCATTGTTTCCAGTGACAAAACAGGTTCATAACCCATTTGACCCGTTGGGATTTTGAAGCCCATGTACACTATAGGTTTGGAATAAAGGTTTTCCTGCTCCCCTAGGTGGACCAGCATGTCCACCAGTCTGTTTGTAAGCTCCAGACTTTTGCATCCACCTTTTCACTTTTGTGAGGAATATCCCCACCTCTTGAAGGCAGTGAATACCACTTACCTGGTGGGAGCTGTGGATATGTGACCGCATGAGGTCGGCTCGAAAGGAAGACCGAAGTCTATCCACCCTCCGCCGTATCAGGTCGTTCGAATAAAGAAATGTTATAGTGAAAAGATACATGGAATACAAAAATTAGGAACCAGAGTTGCTAACATTTTCCTCAATGATCTTTTACCAATACAAAAATGAGATATCAACTTTTAGACAGTATTTGGTTGTGTTAAGATATAGGGTGTTAAATTCAAGTATCGAATTACAAGAAATCCATTGTTCACTTTTCCTTTTCCATTTAGCGAGGAATGACACGTGATGAGTTATCAAAAGCTGAGGAAATATGTCATGCAATGATTACCAAGAACTTAGAAGTCTACTCATCTGATGTTTCATTGTCTTATGCAAAAACCATTCAAGGAGTACGAGCCGTATTCGGTGAAGTATATCCTGATCCAGTTCGTGTTGTTTCAATCGGTGTCCCTGTAACAACCCTAGTTGCTCACCCAGAGAAAGGATTGGGTAAAACTACTTCAGTGGAATTTTGTGGTGGAACGTGAGTAATACTTTTTGTCGTACTGCAATTATTGCACATTTTCGTGTCCATTTGTTGACTCAAAAATGCATCTCCCAATTTTGAAAATAGCATGTGTAAAACAACTAAGATGGATGTGTTTCGTCATTCGTTATGTTCAAAGTTGTGTTTTGGCTTCAACGGCATCTTTTTATAGATTCATACTGTGCAAACAAGAAGTGAGTATGGTATATGTTGAAAGTTCGCACACTACTACTTTCCACTTAGGCTTAAGTAATACTGCCTTATTCAACAATTTTGTAATGTTAGTCAGCGGCTTGTTCTCCCACTACACCATAGAATCTCATGAATAGTTCTCACTCAGTCGAAAATAAGTTGATTAACGGAGGGAAACGCAGTTGTTTGCAATCCGTGCTTGTGAGTCTGAGCAAGTTTTGTAAATTATATTGAGAACAAAACATGAATTTTACAGTTTTTAATTATAATATCAAACTGAACTGTATTACTACTTTGAGATGCTTTAGAAAAATGAATATTTTCAGTCATTGTTGTTATTTGTTCCCTACAGTCACGTCCTTAATACAAAACACATTGGAGATTTGGTTATTGTCAGTGAAGAGGCTATAGCGAAAGGTATTCGACGGATTGTAGCTCTTACTGGTCATGAAGCGGAACGTGTAAGTACTCTTCATATTGATGACCTACATTTTGTGATTGTCAAATGTAAAATAATAATTCAGCAGAAATCTATATTGATATTTTGTTCAAGAATCGGAAAAATTTAGGTTCCGTGTATTCACCTTATCATTTATAGGGTAGTTTGTTCAATCTCATCTGTATATTATTCGTGGATGACATTAAAATCGCATATATGGACTCTAACATTGATAATGTAACTCAACCGTAATGTGTTCATTTTAGTACAGGCGTACTTTCTGCTGCTGCAGTGATACTCTCATAACCATGTCTTCTTGCCGATAATTTCATTTTTCATCAATCGAAGTGATCAATTACTCTATCTTCTTTACAGTGAACATTGAAGAATCAAATTCAAAAGACGATTATAGCATCCAACTTAAGTTAACTGATGAAGACAATGTTTTTTGGAACTGTTTGTCGTCTACTCATCAGCTTCAGTTTTTTGTGTGAAACGTACAGTTTGTTTAAAGAGGTTCTGTTATAGTTTTGGTGTATCACTTCCGCTACTGTATACAGTATCACGTGTTTTATTCCTTCATACTAGCCATGAATAGAGGAAGTTTAGGTCTGCAATAAAATTAAGAATCCGTAGTATTGAATACAGCTTTTATTCATCAGTTCTGTTTATCAGTCCTCTTGACAAATTAAGGTTCCATACTACTTTCGTGTCATTTTTTACTCAGTGAGAATGTTACCCGTAACAGCCTTTTTATTTAACTTTAATTCCAAACCAAAATTGTCTTAATATGATCGTATTTTTCATTTATGAAGGCTCAAAAAGAATCTACAAGACTTGAAAAAGAAGTGAATGAAATGGTCAAGTCAGTCAGTCTATTGATTTCGCAAGGTCAAGGTACTAATGAAAGTGATTACTTTCGTGTAAGTAGACAAATGATTGATTTAACAGAGCATGTTGCTCGTGCCATTATTAGTCAACACTGTCGTGAATTGTTACGCGAGAAATTACAAGAGGCGAAGAAATTGTTAGATGCACGTGATAAAGCATCCAAGACGGCTGTTGCATCTAAGGTGAGTACATTTAGTTGCAAAATTTACTGTGATTTGCTATTGCTGAGGTAATATAATAATTTACACTTCTAATTATATGAATGCTTTATGGCTGTGGGACGTATGATTATTGGAAGTGAAAGGTATAAAAAGACTAGCTGTCGTCGGCCACAGATGTTTGCGTTTTATCTCCCATCTGAAGGGGTACAATGTGGTGAGTAATATCGAAATTAATTGTAGAGTGGCTGGATATTGTCCAAAGTGGACTTCCCCTTCGTCTTCGTATCCGCGAACATAAGCTAACCGTCAAAAGACACGACATCCACTCCCTCATATCACTACATACAGACTACCACGGGCATCAATTCGATTGGAACAATGTTCAAATATTAGACAGAGGAAACAACAAAAATGCTAGAGAATTTTTAGTAGCTTGGCATTCCAGTGAATCATCAATCAATAAACACATCGAGATTGACAAAATTTATCAACCGATAAGAAAGAAACATCACACACAAAAGGTCAAAGTTCAAGTCAAAGAAACAATCAGTTCCAATACAAGTAGCCTAGAATGTGTGAAAACGCACAAAAACAACAAATCACGTCCAAGGTCATCGGGAGAGATGATTAATAAACTCGTGGAGAAATCTAAAAGCTCACTACAAATTGAAGTATGCGCTGAAGATGTCACCTAGTAGGGTGATGAAAGCTTCACAAATTAACTATCCAGCTCAGAGAACACAACCACATCAAAATCATCCACCTGAGCTGCAAATCTTCTCCATCATACCTAAGCCACCACTTTCTTCAACGAGCTGTGTTAGTTTACAAAGGGTTGGGATGGAAAGGAGATCTGGGTGGTCAAACCAAAATCTGGCATCAGTTCATGCATTCTTTGGCTGCTGGTTTGAGCTAGCCACATAAGGAGATGCAGACTACCTTGTTGGGATCCTTGTAATACTGTGAACCAATGATAGGAGAATATTAGTGATATGGTTCAAAATTGTTTTCAGTGGTGCAGATGTAGTTTTATTCTCACAGATACACTAAACCACCAATTGTTTTAGGTTAATATTCTTTCTATCTCATTTTACTTATAAAAGTTATCCTAAATATCTTTCTTCAATCTCCCCCCGGGTGTGGTACAAGCAGTGTGACTACTTGGACTGCTTCACTTCTCTGCAAAGTTCTGTATTGAAATGGACTCAGTCAGGCAGGATATGAATCACCTTTGGTAGAATGATTTCACACAGTCGACCTAAATGGCGTATAGTTAACAACTCGGTAGATATTTTGAAGCTTTTCGGTTTAATATCAGCTTAGGGAAAGTAAATTGTAATGATAGACGGTGTAGACGAAGACTAACAGGTTTTTAAATTGTGCAGGAGGTGGTGAAATAACATTATCGGTTTCCTCCGCATCCGGTCCACTGAAGCTGATGAAACGAACATTCCCGAATGTCTGAAGCAACCAATGTGTTCACATTAACTTGACTGGCTATCCTGAGACCAGGTTTTATGAACTCCTCTCCTGTAACATCATCTGACACTGGACGGAAATAAAAGTCCTATCAAATTTTTCCAGTTATTACTTGATGCATTCAAAAGTTAACTATTTCTCTGCAAATAGTAAGTCACTTGAGGTTTTAAGCCACCCCTCACTGCTAGTTTTGATAAATGGACAATAGTTTGCTTGGAGGTAAAGTACGTACTCTAGTAAATTATTTCTTTTATTGATAAATTTATGAGTTGTTTCATCAATTCATAGAGTTCATGTGATTAGCGACTGGCTTCCTCATCTGATTCATCAGACAGTGATTATATGAACTGCATTGACGATATCTCAAACATGTTTATATTTGGCAGTCCGACATTAACTTTTCTAGCTTCAAAATGATGAGTGTCCAACCACATGTATGTGGTTTTGATGCTTAGCAGCCGATAATTTTTTCCTGTCCACCTTGACTTTACTGTTGTTCACAGAAAATATCTGCCTTCTACATTTTATCAGGTTATGGAGGAAGCTCGATCTCTGTGTGAAACTCTGGCGAATTCTCCCAAAGACTTCATTATTCATGTATTTGATGCTCAATCGAACACGAAAGCTCTGAATTCAGCCTTGAAAGAAATAGAAAAGTTATGTCCTAATAAAGCTGTGATGGCGTTTTCATCGGATCGTGTTTCAAATAAGTTGATTTGCCTTAGTCAAGTTCCAAAGGTGAGTTGAGACCTTTTACACAGTGAAGCTGTCTACTGTTTTGTGCATTTTTACATAGATTCAGTTTTTATTCTAATAACACTGATAACTTGTAAAAATAGGCCCACGGACGCGTTTTGAATTCTCTGATATTCATCTTTCTCACTTCCTTTCATTACGTCTTTCGTTTTCACCAAATTCGTTCATGCTGATAGTATCTATCATCACATCCTTTTATTTGACCTTTACATTCAGAACTAGATGGTAAAATGGCTTGTTGAGAATTCCACTATGTGTCATAAAGTACTGTTTTGGAATGAAGCAAATTATTATTACTATCACTTTTTGTTAAGTTTCACCAGTATAATGACATGCCTGTATCTGAGCTGAAAACTCCTTATCTGATCATCTGTGAAATAATGAGTGCTCAGTGTTTGCTGGGTAATATTATTTGATGGTAACAACCACCTTTCAGTTCCATCTGTATTCCTGGAATTCTGGTCTTATTTACATCCGGTAGGTGTCTTGAGATCTCTCAAGATAATCAAAGAAGACCAAATTCAGGTTTCTTACAGCCCACCAAGGCTACAGCTATCAGAGTATGCGTTGATTTATCCATTTACATTGTTTCTTCTTACATGCACTGTCCGAAGTTACAGTTTGCCACTGAAACTGGCCGACTGGGACACTCATTTCTTGCTTCACATTTCGTCCATTCAAAGCCAAATGATTTGCGTAAATTTAAGATTGTGGTTTGCTCTTGTATCTTAATAAGCATGACTGTTGTTCGATTTCTTTTTCTATTACCTTTACATTTTTGAATTTCATTTTCTCAGTGTCCACTGTATTTCGTTTTATATGCATTTAAATGTCTTTCTTTATCTCTTTGGTTTATCGGTGTCGCAGATTGTAACAGTTCTCGATGGTTGTATTTGAATAGACTAGTTAGCTTTTATTTGATTTATCGAGAGTGACTTTTTGCTTTCTCTTTCCATCCATACAAGGTACTTGTTTCACGTGGCTTAAAAGCCAACGAATGGGTGTCCAGTGTAAGTAAGGCGATGGATGGTAAAGGCGGTGGTAAAGAGACATCAGCACAAGCTGTTGGAAATCGAATTGATGCTGTTGGAGAAGTAATTCAGTTGGCAGACGCGTTCGCTGTTGCAAAACTAACTGGGAACTGATAAAATTCACTCATTTTGTTAACAGATGTGTATGAGGTTGTGTATATGTTATCGTTGTAGAATATGCATGTTTTTAAAATAGAAATGTACAGAAAAGTGAATTAACGGAATCATAAAACTCTTTGTTTTTATTTCGTTCCTTCAACTCAAGCCACTTTTGAACGATTCGTGAATTGATAACAGTGTCAGTATAGCCTAGGCAGTCAATCTTTGTGAATGTGTAAAAAGAACACGTGTATTTGTAAGGGGAGAGGAGAAAAGTAACTACTGTCTCGTAGCAACTGGATGATATAATGGTGTTCGGTTTTATAACAAATTAGGGAGCAGTCTAAGCAAATACGTATTTTCGGTGACTTCTCATCTGGCCATGCAATTACACAATGGAATATTCCCAACCGATAGCTGCTACCTTGACGTGGTGGTCGGGCTTGCACATCGCAATGACCCAACAAGCTACACTGGCTGCAACTATTGGTCCTGCAGGTTCTACCAAGGCAGGAACGTTGTGAGGATAGCGATTAGACTAAAAGCAGTTACCGGCATAGTGTAGGAACTTTGTTTACGCTATGCTGGGGGATGGATGTAAAATCAGTGAGATGTTTCCGTCAGATGACCAGCATGCCAACTATTCTGTCTCTCCACTTTGCAGAGAAGAGGTTAGAAAAGACCTCGAAATTTGTACATTACGACTTAGCCTACAGTGGTCCGTAACCGGCAGTAAGTTTACTAATACGGAATCAATCTAAGAAACCAGTTCTACAGGCCGTGTGTGACCGGCCTCAAGCAGTTGTCCCCTGGGCTCTGCGGTCACGCAACACTAACCCTCTTTCTGTTTCAGGTACTCGAATAATTAATCAACTTCAACGGTGTGGTCAGCCGAGGAGTAACAACTGCCCATACCCTTCCAAAAGCACATGAAGCCTTCCTGAGCATCATTCTCCTTTACCCACGTCACCTTCATCACATTACTCCCCTACTACAGTCAGTGCTATTCTTCAGGCTAGTGGGTCATCTTCACTTCACTCTGTGACTGCAAACAACGATGAGAGCCATAGAAACATCCCCGACAGCCTCTCAGAGCCAACTTCATATAGGAGCATTAAACATCAGGACTCTCTGCAAATCGGACAACAGGCATCACCGGCAATAACTCTGGCATCTCAAGCCATAGATGTATTTTGTGTTTCGGAGACGCGCATACAAGACGCGAGTGTGGTCATTCACATATCCTCACCTGACCAACAAAGATGTCACGAGAACTCTCAGCTAGTTCGCGAGGACTCGCAGGTGTAGGGATGGCATTGAATGTTAGGGCTGAGAAATCCCTTCTGATAAACTAAAGGATGACTTCTAGCAGAAACTGTCTAATTTTCTGCAAAAGGCAAAACGTTCAGATATAGTTGTTTTAGCAGGCGACTTCAATAGCCAAGAAGGGAAGTTGTGCAAGACTGAGGAGTATATAGGTGTTGTGTATGTAGTTCCCTGCCGACGAACCAACAACGATGATCGTCTCCTAAAGTTCTGCTCAGATAATCATCTGTTCCTAGTCAGCACTAACTTCAGGCACAAAGAAAAGAATTGTGTAACATGGCGACCTACATCAACAAATCAACACTGTACTCAGATTGACCATAGCGATGGGGTATGGTTGGCGAGGATCAGTAGAAGACTGCCTATCATTCTGGAACACGTGTTTGGACTCCGATCACGCCCTGGTTCGCGCACGTTTATGCTTACGACTAAACGGACATAAAAATTGTTCGCAGCGAAGCAGCTACGTCCCCAATTAGATCGAGACTCTGGATCCCTACGACTGTTCATATTCTCTGATCTTCTCCATGTCACCCTCGGACTCCCCATTCGTTGGTTCCTATTAGGGTTTCAGTCGAGGGTGTGGCACGCAAAGTCTTTCGACGGCCAAATTTAAAAGTCTACATCAAGCTGTTGGATAAATAATGTCAAATAGATATTATTAGTTAGCTTATACTATTTATCCTTCTGCGATTTGCATAACGAAATTCCAGAATAACGAAAATTTTCAGAATAAAAATTACAATTATGATGAAGACTGCAACAGTTCTCCATTCAACTGACTTCATTCAACTTATATGAGTCACAAAGCAGGTCCGTGTAACAGAACACCATAGATTACTGTATCACATGTGCGTTTTCAGTTATTCCTGTCTTCAATTCAATGGCTTTGCTGAGTTTTCCGTTGTGGATCACCTCACACGTGGCATTGTCACATAGCCAGCTGTTGAATGAGGTTGATAAAGACTTGGGCACTGCACACCATAGTGTTGAAGTAGTTTCCGAATTACTTCCTGGTCGGCACTGTCTAAGGCCTTCTCGAAGTCCATGAAGTTGAGGTAGGGATTTGACTACCACTCAATGCTTTGTTCGATGCGTAGAGTTGCAATTTGATCAGCACATGATTTGCCTTCCCTGAATCTAGCTTGTTCCAGTGGGATGGAATTCTGCATCCAGTGCATCCTTTATTCTCTTCAGGATGACGTGATATAGCGTTTGATTTGGCGTGGACAAGAACATTATTCCACACCAGTTTTGCAGAGGCGTGAGTCGCCAGACAGCCTCTCTTCTAATTAGTAGGCGCCTTTCCTTCTTTACAACCATTTTACAATCGTAATAACAAAGATAAATTCATGCAAGTGGTTATATATTCTGGATGACTGGCTAGTTTCATCATAGAACATTGTGCAGGAGTACAGCAGTTCGACATTCTACGCTCCATATAGCATACACAGGAAAAGAAAAGGGAGAAAAAAAGATTCAAAAGAACCGAAATAAGCAGAAATATCAGGCAGAAAGAATAGTGACATGGAAAAACGTGTCGGTTCAGTGGATACGAGAGATTAGAAAGAGTGGATGCATCTGGCCAGTTGAGATCGATTTTGAGCCATATCACTATGTGTCTGCAGTCAATGGTCCTTAGAATTCGAGGCCAGCTGGGCAGCTTACGCCTCCGTACGTTGCCTAAACTACCTGATGCCAGATTTTGGTGTGATCACCTCTGTTTTCTAAATCGGTACGATGTCAGCTAACGTTCCCCGGTGCATAAGGCGACAACTGGCCTTGTTGATACTTGATGGTTGGAGGCAATCGGCAGGAAGCCTTGCTTAGGTTTCATGCCAGTTGGCACTCGTCAGCAAGGCGTATCTGCAACCTTGAGGGAACTCATGTCCATTATGACAATCAAACCAACGTCACACAGTGCCGCAGTCAGAGACGTTACCACTGAGCCATTCGGACTCGCGATTGACCTTCTGTAGGACTGTATTGGATACGTCGACTGGACACTAGTTACTAACTAGTGTAGTGTGTCTAGTCCTTTGTATGGTACATACCTAATTCTATCAGTCCAGTTTGCAATGTGGCTACCATTCTAGGTGGCTTGCCATCACATTGCCTCCAACCATCTAATATGGACAATTCAAAGTGCACTGTGATGGTGGCCACATTGCGAACTTGACTGATAGAATTCGGTCTGCACTAAACAAAGGACTAGACACACCACTAGTTACTAACTAGTGTCCAGTCAGAGATAACTAGCTTTGCCTGACATATGTACTAGCCCTCTCAGTTGATGTAGCTTCACAACCTCATCGATTGACTTTCCCTCGACGCCTAACCTCAATATCGCTTACCCTATTATATCACCTAACATGCAAGACAGAATGGAGACACTTATGATCGAAGACAGCTATCCTTTCCAGATCTACTTTCAATGGCCATGTCTCGCAACCATAAAGGAATGACGGGGCGAACTGTTCAGCAGTATATACGTCCTTCGATTGATAGCCCAATATCACGTCTACATCTGAGATGGAGTAAGTGCGCAAGGGCCAAACGAGCTGAAATTTCGTGAGTGATGAGCCGGTTGGGTCTGATGCAACTCTCTACAACTTCGCTGTTTATCTTTCAGCTAGGAGTCGATGTAGTCTAGTTCTGTAGTAACACTTTACATTTGACAGGAGTAAATTGCATGCCGAAAACTTCAAGAATGCTACACAAAGTGTTCAAAAGACTGCATTTTATCAGCGTCTTCATCATGGAGGCCTATATCATCAGCATATTCTAAGTCAGCAAGACGGTACCCGTGCAACAAGTCAGTCCCTAAATGTCTGAAGTTAGTTAGGGTCAATTATATAATCTAAGTATCTGGGATTTTATGCCATCTACTAGACTTATTGTGTAGGTAGTTCCATCACCATATAAGCCACAGAAAATGCCAGGGCGGGACAACGAGGACAAACCCGAATCCAGTATTGTTGTCAGTTACAACATGTAGGTGTTTAAAATGAAGTGGGTGATGAAGGACGACAGATTTCAGTGTTAGCATGTGGAGTGTGAGAGATGAGTAGAGTTAATAGACTCTTAGTAATATGAATACGAATGCCCATTATGAATCTAATCGTTTGTTTCGAGTTACCCTGATATCTTCGCCAGAAATAATCCGAACTTTGAAAAGTACCAAATTGAATAATAAAGTTATGAGAGGACAAAGCACAAATAAATACATATTAACGAAATGCTAAGTAGAGTGCAATTATTCAGAGGTCTTTTAATCAGTTTCGAATAATATCACTTTTCATATCAGATAAGTTTATTTGATATAACACGCAGAAATACAGTAGTAATAACTGAATTCTACTATTACATTAATGTCACCTTTGACTGTCAAAAATTAGTTCCTAATACCTAGGTTAACATCGCAAAGTAGAATCAAAAATCGCCAGTTTAGTAACTCCAGGAATTGATGGAGATAGTCTTATATGTGAAGCCATACTTGGTCGATGCCAAAGATAGTTCTACCGGGACAGCCTAGCTCAGAATTTAATAGGAACTATAGGGCAGATACAAACCGAGCTCCAAATATTTACATCGTTTTTAGTGGAAAATTCATAACACACTTACGTTTGGTAGCATCAACAGTCGTCTGTGAAAAGAAGTTATGAAGAAAGAGGAATGCCGAACACATA